TACAATAGCGACGATTATTATTTTAAAAAATTTTTGTTAGGCTTAACATCGATGAAAATTCAACGCAAAATAGGTTAATAGCGATATACTAATATACTAATTACATGGGATATAATAATATACTACACTAATAATGGATTTTTTCATACTTTTCGGTTATCCGACTTTTCAATTATCCGACCAACCCCAGTCCCCAATTAGGGCGGATAATCGAGGTTCTACTGTATATCCACAAGCAGCTTCATAGCAGGTTTTTAAATAAACAATTTTAGTTACTTTTAGTAGCCATCTTTATGTTATGTATTCAAATGCTAAATTCAAGAACATAAAATAAATTCCTGCAAATATATATCAATGTCTTATAAATGGATGTTTTAACTACAAATTTGATTACTTGGACATAATTTCTAGACTGCTGTAAAATAGATTAACCACTCAACAGTGAGGGATGGATATATCTGTCCAGGGTGATCGTGTGGCAGTGATGAGGGATGAATATATTCGTTAAATTCTTTTGGGGTATCACCAAAAACTAGCCAAAAACTACTGCGAAAAAATTCAGCATTGTCATTCCGCAGTAGCCCATATATAGTGAAATTTCTTTTGTAGATAATTTTCTTCCTTGTAGATGTTCCTATCTTGTATATGTTGCATAGAGGTGATGTTTATTTAACTACTGCAAATTCTGCCTACATGTCCTTTCTTTTGTAGTGCGCAACTGTTGATCATAGCTTCTATGGCTTGAGGTGTCCAATATGGAAGCTTGAATATATTACAGCAATTGGACACTAATTGCTGTAATGTATTCAAGCTCTGATATTCTGTTTTGAACATTTGTGCAGTGTATATGGGTTCTTCTGACAAAAGCCTTATATGCTGCTAGTTTACCAATTCAGATAAAGGAACACAAAGACAACATTTTGAAGATCAATCCTATTGCCGCCTTAGCGGTTTACATGATTTCTGATTTGGATTCCATTTCAGTCAAATGGGACCAGGCAAAAATAATCCGAAAAGTACAGAATAAAAAAGCAGATCAGAGATCTTATACAGAAGCTTGATAAATCTACAAAAGCATTTTCAAGGAGGCAAGCCATCAATGCAAAGGTTGTGACATATCACTGATTGCTTGGAGGGCATTATTAGATTTGGATTCAAGATGATGAACTATGATAATGAGGAATATACAGGGAGATTACCACACATTATCATATACATTATTGATTAAATCCAGTTGTGTATGTTTATAGCACAAATTTATATATAAATTTTTTGTTTGGCATAGTATATGTAATATATGAGTTATGTCATTAGTTTAGTTCTTACATATATTTTTGCTAATGGTACAGTTAAGTTTACGACCCTATATAATTTATTTCTTTTATTGTTATTTTATTTTTATGTGTGTTTGGTATTTATTTGTGTATTTACTGTATATTTTAATCTACATGGAAGTCAGACACATGCATTTAAATTTTTTTTTGTTCTAAAATGTTAATATTTGAAATCAACTTGTTCTAGAATATCTTCCATCTTTCATTCTTTTTAAATTGTAATTTCTTTCTTACTGTCCTGAAGAAGGTTAATTACGATGACTGAAAATGTTTGAAAATTAAAAATTTTACCGCATTTTAAAAGTCTGAGTAATAGTACTATCTCGCATTGGAATAAAGTGATGATTTTAAAACTTATTTTAAATCCAAAGAAGTTTTTTTCAATATGCATGGAAAAAATTATAAAAATGATATATTTAGTATTGCTATTCACTAGCATAAAATTTATATCTTGCAAGTAAAAATAAATTATACCACATATCTTATCAATTAAAATGTAATGAAAAATAAAATTTTAATATATTTTATTTAATGTCAATAATTAATAATGTTTATGTGAAATCTAATTTTATATATTTTAAATGTAGCCTCTTGCAGAAGAGCCATTTAAATTTGAAACTGAACTTGATGATTTGCCTAAAGAAGAATTAAAAGAATTAATATTTAAAGAAACTATGCTGTTTAAAAGGCAACCTCAAAATTAATAATTTAATAAGTAAATGGTATGAATTGTTTGTTTTTTATTTATAAAATATATAAGATTAACTTTTTCACTAAAATCTTAACAATTGAATATTTATATGCTTTTACTTTCAATATTTTAATAATATAATAATTACTATAATAAAATAAAATTAAATGAAATAATCAGAGAGAATATTTCATATTGTAAATATAAAACTAGAAATGTAATATTAAGAAGAAACAATCCATTAATGGTCAGCCATCTCTATGTATTGCTTCTTTATTAAGAATTTACTAGGAAATCTGACTTTCTACTTTTCCTTGGAATTAATTGCCATTAACATTAAGGAAAGAAAACAACTATTATTTTTGTACAAAGGATATGCATTTCAGACTATTTGTCCCTCTTCAGCAGTGGTGTGCCGTCATTGTAAGTGGTGGATGCAATGCTTCCCTTGTATTTTCTAAAAGTTAAATACATATTAATTTTAATTATATGAAAATAATCACACAATATTTTATTATAACCGCATTATGTATCTTATTACAAATTTCTATACTACACGTGAAAAAAAAAGATAAGATCACTAATGTATATTCAGATATTAGTGGCGGAGTGGAAGCGCTGTATTGTCAGCATCCAAAAAGCCAGATTTGTGCATGTGCTTTACAGAGCACCAACCTCACTCGGTTTAGCCGGTGGAAGCCTAGGACCTTGGGTGGACACTACACGTATACTGCATCAATTCTATCCAGGATCAGTTCTGGGCTGTTAGCCGCCTGCCCGCTAGATATTTGGCCGCCCTCACCCGATTACGTGAATCACGACTAGATTTATAACTTAACCCCCAACCGATAAGAATTTACTGGTATGTTTTTATGGTAGTTCTGTATAGTTGGCATGAGTTTAAAAAATCCATTAAAATATTTGATATTTTAATTCCGCTCTCCGAGTTTATATTACTCACAATTTCAATGTTAAACCAGTGATATTACGATTTCGTACATTCCATCTTTAAGGGGGATGTAGAAAAAAACGTATACAGTTCTTGTATAATGTTAAAAAATTAACTGTTACTTTGACAGCATCATTTACAACTAAATTTAATGAATGAGAGAGATGCATGTGGTACAGAAAAAGCTCTAGAATTTATTTTCCTTAAATTTACGATTTATGTATTCGTTTGTCATAAAAATTTGTCTTTCCACTTTTTTCCCGAGATTACAAATATTCAAATACAAAGTACTTATTTCTACTTAAGAAGTAGTTAAATAATTAAGCGATTAGGGAATTGGGACACAAATAAAACCCTGCTGAAAGAGCCAGAATTTTACTTAAACAAAAGCTTAACCGAGTACAGTGTGAACTGATTTCTTCATAATATTAAATGTAATAAAGACAGAAATTTTTCCAGTTCAATGAGAGTGACCTAAAAGTTGTAAATTTTGGAAATTTCTGAGGACACTTTGTCCTAAAACGAATTAGTTAGAAAACAAATGACTATTAAGTTTAACATATTTAAATTTTTACAGCTATGGTGAGAAACGTTTAAAATCTACAACAGCCCTGTCGCGTCTTTTGAGATATACTAGTGATGTGACAAAAGAGGTATTTGACATTGACCGGTATTGGCACCCTGGGGATTTGGCAGTCTGCGTGTATGCACACTCTGCAACCGTCTTTGATTCCATCCATTAGTCACCCGTAGGGAGCTATTTGACTAAGTGCGTTGTTTTAAGGTTTAAAAAGTAAAGAATATTTTATATTTTTATGTACGTTTCTTTACAAAGCTATATTTAATTATAATTTTCTTTAAAAGTATATTCATACAATTAAAGAATATTTTGTACCAAGTATGTACCGGTACATCCACCACACATTTTATTTCATCAAGTAAGTTTTTATTATTTTATTTTTAATTGTAGCCCTTATATCGTGGCTAGCAATTCGGAATGTAATTGTGATATTAAAAATACATTTAGAAAAGTCTATGATTTTTACTGGCTTATCGAATAAACGATACGAATGGACCCTAGACCATCACTGATGCGCAATTGACTGATTGCCCCTGGATGTCGGCTTCTTACAGAAACACAGCTTCCCTATCATCAAATGTCACGGCACGCCACTGCTCTTTAGTCCTTTTAAGTTAAGTAGTACAAAATAAAATCTTTCTCGTTATGTGTGTTCCTGCATGATAATCACATATTCTGAACCAATTACGGTGTGTAGACAACAATGATAAACAAAATCTAATGTTTTTGAACTCCCATCAAGTCCTTCATCAGGTTTTTTAACGATTCCTTGATGGTTCTTCATTTTGGAATAAAATTCGTACAAGAGTTTGAATATAAGTTCAAAAATTATTAAAACCACATCACTCCTGTGCAGAGAGTTGGCCTACCAGGACTCAACGAATGGCCAAACCATGTTGTCAATCAACTCTTGCCAGGCCATTGAAAAAAACCATTTCCTCTTTATAATTTATGCAAGTAGATGTTAAACTGAATTTAAAAATGTGCACAGCCTCCAACCATCTGAGGTGTACTGTGAGGGGTGTAGTGAGGATGAGTTTGGCCCAGTTAAAGTCCGCTACGATGTCAGATCTGTTGCATATGTAGAGACGGCCATGGTTATTCTCGCATACTGTATATTGGCACAACTAAGAGCTCCATGGGGATCAGATTACAAGAACATTGTATATTGGCAAAATGTTCTTGTAATCTGATCCCCATGGAGCTCTTAGTTGATCCTATGTATACCAGGTCTCTATTGTATCTGTTGTCCCTTATGGGGACACTATATATGCCAGGATGTCTGTTTATGTCCAGGGAGTCCTGGTATATATAGTGTCCCTTATGGGGACACTGTATATACCAGGACTCCCTGAACATAAAGAAGGCATATAAATGCCTATAAGCATATAAATGAAATTGCAGATGGTAATAGCACACAGGCACATATCTTAAAAGTTTGAAAATTTCCTAGAAGTGATTAAAAGTTGAGGAAAAGGTGTCATAAGGTGTCACTATCAACTCAGAGAAAGTGTGAGTTGACACATACTAGCTTCTGACAAGGTTGTCATTTAGTTGTTTTCTTTTAAATTGTTCAATTCTCACAATATGCATGATGAATTGTACTCAGGTTGGCCATCTGTAATTGTTGACAATCTTGTCCCTGCAGTAGATACCACAATCTGTGGAAACAGATAATTCACCATTTCCACCTATTAGTTAATTTCCCACAAGTTTCACAGTTCGCTCTTTACAAAATTGTGTTGGAAAACTTGGAGTATAGGAAAAGGTGCTCTTGATGGGTTATGAAAATGCTTACTGAAGAACACAGAAGAGATTAGCCTATGCTTTTACATTTTTGACCCATTACCATGAGAAAGGTGAACTGTTGAACAGGGGACAGGACACAGGTGTTTCATGTGATCCCTGAATCCAACTAGCAGTTGCTGGAGTGATGATACATAAACAAAAGTGAAATTCAAGCAGATAACTCACAAAATTTATGGCAGTTGTGTTCTGGGACAGACACAGTGTTTTGCTGATGTACTTCATGCCACAGGGACAACAATAAATACTGCTGCATATTGTTAGACCTTGAGGAAACTTTGTCAAGCAATCCAAAAAAATGCTACAGCATGCTATCTGCCAGAATTCTGTTGCTTATGATGAGCTTCTCAATGTTTGGCATGATGTCTTCAGGGTATCAATCTCACGATTTGGATGCAGATATGGGGCCATACTGTTTTGCACTTAAACCGCAGCATTGCTACCCTGAAGACATCATACCAAACATTGAGAAGCTCATCATTGGCATAAATGAATGTCAAAAAGAACTTTACCAATGGAAAGCAACCTTCAGAATGAAATCGTTATGTTGCTTCACAACATTACAAGGCCTATACTGTAGCTCTAGTCAAATCTTTTTGCTGGCAGCAATTGGATTAACCCCCATACATCTCAGACTTGGCACTGATAGACTATCATGTCTTCCTGCATCTGAAGAGTTCCTCGCTGGCAAATGCTTCTAA